CTTCTCGCCTCTCCAGCGCGGCAGGGTGCTGACCGCGACAGCCGCCGGCACTTCTCGCCTCTCCAGCGCGGCATGGTGCTGACCGCAACAGCCGCCGGCACTTCTCGCCTCTCCAGTGCGGCAGGGTGCTGACCGCGACAGCCGCCGGCACTTCTCGCCTCTCCAGCGCGGCAGGGGGCTGACCGCGACAGCCGCCGGCACTTCTCGCCTCTCCAGCGCGGCAGGGGGCTGACCACGGCATCCGCCGGCACTTCTCGCCTCTCCAGCGCGGCAGGGTGCTGATCGCGACAGCCGCCGGCACTTCTCGCCTCTCCAGTGCGGCAGGGTGCTGACCGCGGCTGCCGCCGTAGGGTGTGGAATCGAGCTGCGGAATCAAACTCGTAGACCCGGACATAATTGAACAGATTTGAACATTGTGCATCTTCGAATCCTAACAACGAGGATTCGATTGCTGACTATTGGAATGTCAATCATACAAACCTGGCAACGGATCCTGAAGCTTATCATATAAATATGCACTTCAATGGATTGAATGTTGTCTGCACTCATATTTTGTTATGAGCACGTATACGCCGTTTTGACATCGCACCAAGTCGCCCGGCGTCCTTTTTATTATATCGCCTATGCATTTGAGATGCCGATGTTAGGATTCAAATACTGCTATATTTGATCAAATTTTTAATCCGAAACCGAATTCATCTATACCTACCCTAGAATTCGGCTTTCAATATGCTGCGAATTCTCAGCTCCGGCGCGGGGCCTCACCTGGGGCTCGTCGCCCGCCTGGCCGGCGCGGCGACGGCCGTATTGGCCGCGTCCACACTTCCACGAGCTGTTGGGCCTCACGCCAGGCCCTCTCTGGCAGCTGGGCGCAGCCTGGTCACCGAGCCGGGCGCGGCGCAGGCACCGCCGACCGCGCCTGCTGCGGCGTGTGTGCGCAGGACGGCGTGCTTGCGGCGAACAACAGCACCCGACGTGCGCTGGGCACGCCCGGTTCGGATTCAATAGCAAGTTAATAGAAGGATTGCGCACCACGGCTTTTTTCTGTCGTCTGATTTGCGAGTCCAACGAATAAAGTACGGAATAATTGCACTGGTGCGTGCTTCGTGTAATATTTCATGTCTTCATGCAATTTAAGCCCAATGTATCGCTACAACTCCAAAGAAAAGCAGATTCTGTTATGATGCAACTTGTTCCAATGTACAACTAACTGTAGTCCAAACGACTGACTGATGACTTTGGCCTGAAATTGATAGCGCCCTGTAGGTCATGCAGCGAACTGTTTCATGGTGATCATATTGCAGGAACACAGCAACATACTGTGATTTGGGATCCAGAACGTCGCCATCGTTTTTGAGGAAAATGTTTGCTGCTGACAAGACACGATTCCCCGTTGTCACTTTAGTTGAAATCAGAGCGACAGATAGGTTACCCTTCATGTACCTTTGAACAAATGACAACGACGAGCGTTTCTCATAACGTTTACAACTGTTTTGTATAGACGGGATTGAATTGCTTTAGCTGGAAACATTCAAACACGAACTTCTAACATGACGTTTGAATGCATTTTTGCTTCCCGTTTCATGCAACTTCATGCAATGTCATGCATCTGTGAAATTTTCTGCACCGCGCTCCGCATGCTCAAAGCATTGGTCAGTATCTTGTACAAGTATGGTATTGCTCATGAAGCGAATTGCAGTGAGTTTTGTTGGCTCGGTTCATATGGACGCAGGGGGGATGTGCTGGTGCCCGCCCGCGGGGGCACCTGTTTGCCTTCTACTGAGTTTTCCATTGTCCCATTGTAACGCTATGGGGCCCTCGTTGAACTATATTGAGCACGGCCTCTGGTCCCGGAAGCACGATAAACCTAATAAGCGATAATTGTAAATGGGACTACAGGTCTCCGACAACGAGTGACCTACCTTATGGGGCAATAGCTATAACTATGTATACACAACTTGCGGTAGTGATTGCGTGATGTTGGAATGTCGTGTGGGCCGTTGGAAGCTTGATGCATGACGGTGCTGATAAATATACAAACATTTCAGACTTTCTGACAAAATGAGGGAGGCTAAAATGTCATCTTGAATGTTTGACAACAGGTCGGTGTTATGTTCGCGGAATGAATGCACCACCAGAGTTAATTTTACCTTTGCTTGTGAACTTTTCAAAAGAATGGGAGTGCGTGCTGACCACCAGGTGAATAGGATAATCAAATGAACTGTATTTAAATGTTATAATTCTGGAAACGAACGATTTCGATCATTGTGTCTTATATAAACAGAAAACAAGCTAAACAAAAATACTTATGTTTGGCACCAATTTGCCTTCTGCTATGATGCTTATAAGACTCTGCTGGCAATAGCCTTTAATGTCATTTAGATGCAGATAGTCTTGGTAAATAAGTAACTACCAACTGTTCAAGCATAACCATGTGCCTAAAAAGCAAAGCCCCTCAGTTTTAGCTGCATGGAACGCTGCCAGCGTTTGTCGCAGTGCTGAATCAGCGACTGTCAGACAAGCACGGGGACCGGCGGACCTGCGTAATACAATGCGACGAAGAGTTTGTGCGGTTTATAGCGACAGGATAGACAGAGTCTTTTCCCAGAATGGTGTTTGCTGCAGCTCATGACATACTGGATGCAATTTTAGTCATCTTAGGGCGAGAGAATCTCCGGGACCCCCAAGGCTTTCTCAGATGCCTCTGAGGCTTTCTTAGGGGCCCGCCTGGGCTTTCTCAGAGGCCTTGTGGCTTCCTGTAAAAAGCTAAATTACTGAACAACAAATTCTGGAATTTCGGTGGGCATGCTTTCCACGTGTGTATTAATTTGTGAAAACACTACCACGCTTGAAGACGCTAAAACGTCCAACGCCGAACGCTGAAGACACTAAAACGTCCAACGCCCAATGCTGAAGACGTTAAAACGTCCAACGCCCAACGCTGAAGACGCTAAAGCGCCCAACGCCCAACGCTGAAGACGCTAAAACGTCCAACGCCCAACGCTGAAGACGCTAAAGCGCCCAACGCCCAACGCTGAAGAAGCTAAAACGTCCAACGCCCAACGCTGAAGACGCTAAAGCGCCCAATGCCCAGCGCTGAAGACGCTAAAACGTCCAACGCCCAACGCTGAAGACGCTAAAACGTCCAACGCCCAACGCTGAAGACGCTAAAACGTCCAACGCCCAACGCTGAAGACGCTAAAACGCCCAACACCCAACGCTGAAGACGCTGAAAAGTCCAACGCTTGAAGACGCTGCATAATTCGTAAGTGATAGCCTCCTTGTCGAGGTCATGCTGGTCACATCATGTCGTGTTTGGACGCCCGATAACGTGAGTACGTCCCAGAACATGATTGCAAAACACCGCCCTGTATTCATTCATTTTGTCCTGTAACATTGCACTAAGGACACAACCTTACAAAGTGTAATTCACGGTTTGGTCATCCAAGGCGAAGAAAGATAGCTTGTGTCGTATGGAAAACTAGCAGTGGAACAATGTTTTAGTTTACCGAACCGTAATGTTATCGCCCCAATCACGAACAACTGGTTATGCATGTTAATTATGCATATCGTACACGTAAAGTATTAAAGTATGTCATACAATGTCCCGCGCCGTTTTTATTTGGTTTGGCACATGCTTAGGTCTGGCCTGCAGAGCTTTGGTGCGTTTTTGGCATCAACATTTGCAAACAAGACCGTTCTTTAATTATCGCGTATTGAGCAAGTGATGCTCGTCGTAGCAACTGCCAGTGGAATAGTGTCCGGTAGCAACTGCCATCGTAGCAACTGCAACTGTGATGCTCGTCGTAGCAACTGCCAGTGGTATAGTGTCCCACCAGCACAACGGAGATGTGAAAGTGTCACCGTAAGCCCTGCTATCGGCGGCAGGCTGTATGTGCACCTGTGCTTCAGTCCCTTGGAACACTCCATCCTTAGTGACTGAAGACCTGCAGGACTGCATGCACACCTTGCAACTCACCTGAAATTCTACTTTGAAAAGTATCGGATACTTCCTGTGCTGCTCACAGTACTTGTTAAAGTTGGCCTTCTCAATCGGCCTCCTCGGAATGGCGCGGATTGCTCTGTCCTCCTCCGCTGTGGAGAGAGTGGCGCCATCAGAGCGGTCCACAGTGCGGTGGCGTCGCGACGAGGAGGGTCAGGCCGGGCCGTATGTACACTCGGCCGCACTGAGAGTCGGTTGTCTCGAGGCACGTCGACCGTCAGATGCTGCAGTGCGGTCAGTATCGAGCTCACAGGTCAGTGCAGGAGCGACGCTGCCCGCGGCCCCGGCGCTGCCACAGAACACAGCTGGGATATTTGGACAGCACTGGCTCCACCCCGACAGTCGACAGTCGACAAAGCACCACTGTGCATGAGGTCCACTAACGAGCCTGATCCGTCGCATACGAGTGTGTTCGACATCTGAACAACGTTCTCTACAGAGAAGCAGAACAGCAAGAGCTTCAGCCGGCAGGGCCAGGAAGTAGCCGGACAGGGCTCACACAGCACCGCTAACAAATGACCCCAGCGCACTGATGACAGCGTGGAGCGGTTTCAAGCTTCAAGACGTGTTCCGTTGGCGCTCGAGACAGGCCATTTATCCAGGCAACTTGGTCTCCACGTGGGGCCGGTTGGAACGCTGAGAAAATCGAAGACTCTGTTCCGCACAGACTTCCTTACCGAACCCTGCGCTATTTAAGCTATTTGGCTGCGTGTTGGTGGACGACTTTTTGTATGAAACATAATGTTGAATGAGTCTTCTCTTGCCCAATTTGTTTTGCTGGTGCTGTTGCCTTTAAAATACTGCTTACAAAGAGTTGATCACTATCGATCGTTTTGATCTTCAGCTCCCACTGTTTTGGACACAATTACAGACCCCATTCTTAAAAACAATACCATACTTTTTATTTTTAATGCGCAGTGTAGTCGTTTCCCTTCCTGCTAAGGGGAAGAGCGTGCTGCAATATCCCTACACTGGCACTATGCGCTGTCAGCCATATGGATATAAAAACGTCATTCCAGACATGCATTGCTTATCATGATCTTATCAGTAGCCTTTGTCTTATCCGAGGCCGAAGCAAGTGTGATAATCTCTCGAGTGTCAGGATGGGCTTGATTGTCAGCATATTAGTCCAATGATTGATTACCAGATGGCGTATCAAACCATGACCTCCGCGGAATTACGAAGCATCGGTAGGTGCTTGGTGTCCGATTAATCCCACGAGACCGGCAAGAGAACTATCCTGGGGAACACTGCAATCACGAGACAACATCAAACATATCTATACTTTTTTGGGCTGTTCTTACGGAGGCGCGTAACAGCATCCGAGCTGAATGTCGCGGACCCGCCTCTGGAGTTGAGCAGCGTGCCAGCTGTCAGGTGACTGACAGCAGGGTGCAAACGTCCGATATGCCACGCGAAAGGCTGACCGATGAGTCGCACGCTCGCGTCGGTGCGTGCGACGACGGTTTGGTCGAGACCGGACGCTCGTGTCGGCGCGTGCGACGGCGGTTCGACCGAGCCCGGGCGCTCGCGTCGGTGCGTGCGACGGCGGTTCGGCCGGGCCCGGGCGCCCGCGTCGTTGCTGTGCGACGACGGTTCGACCGAGCCCGAGCCCGAGCGCCGGTGCGTGCGACGGCGGTTCGACCGAGCCCGGGCGCTCGTGTCGGTGCGTGCGACGGTGGTTCGGCCGACCCCGGGCGCTCGTGTCGGTGCGTGCGACGGTGGTTCGGCCGACCCCGGGCGCTCGCGTCGGTGCGTGCGACGGTGGTTCGGCCGAGCCCGGGCGCTCGTGACGGTTGGGCCGAGTCCGGGCGCTCGTGACGGTTGGGCCGGGCCCGCGCGCTCGTGACGGTTGGGCCGGGCCCGGGCGCGCCCGCTTCGCTCACCGATCGGGATCAGACCACTGTTGAGCATGGTGAGCTGAATCCGGCTGGGCAGCGAGCTGATGGACGTGCTTGCGGTGTCCAGGTACTTGTTCTGCTTCTTGGGCTTGGCGTCCAGCGAGCGGGGCGCTGAGCGCGAACGGCGGCTCTTCTTGCGGCGCGGGGCGCTGCTGCCGTGTCGGCTCACCGGCGAGCCGGCAGCGAGGTCCGGCGGCTCGGCACTGGCGCCTCGCAGCTGCACCATACTGACCGACAAACGGTGCCCTCCTCCGCCGACCTCCTCACCCGGCACGGCCAGGGCTGGGATCAGCCGCGATCAGCGCCGGTGCGTCTCAGCCAGTCGGCGCGGAGGCCGCGTGTCGAGCCGGGACTGGAGCGCGGTGTCTCGCGTCGCGCACTGTTGCGACCGACGCCAAACACCAGCGCGCCGCTTCGTCCGCGGCCGGCGGCAGCCCGGGCGACCCCACCGCGCGAGCTCGGCGCAGCCGGCGACACACTGTGGCGTCGTCCCGGGACTGGGCGCTCGGTCCGCGCTCCCACGCGCCGACGCAACTCAACATAAACGCTAACCGACTATTCCTGTCCGGTGGCGGGCGCCAACGGCCGCTCGCCACCGGATTCTGTCTGGCAGCCGCCCCGTCGGTGTCACGCCGGGGTCAGGCCGAGGTCACGCCGCCGTCCGGGGTCAGGTCGGAGGGTGGCCCGGCCGATTCTGGGCCGTCCTGGTCGGTCCGAGTCAGGCACGGGGTCCGCGTGAACGTGTGCACGCGGGCGGCAGACGCCGCCGGAACTGGAGCTGGTGCCGGTGCCGAGATGGGGCGGGAGCTGAGGCACAGGAGGGGTAGTAGGACACGGACCCCGCTCCAAAACATTTTGTGGGGACTGGGGAGGGGAGGACGACGGCACTCGGCAAACAGCTGTGACGCGGTGTCAGGAAAATAATTTTAAACAGCCGCAATGCTGTGAAAGGGAAGATACCTCGGCGTGAGTCAGTAAGATCGCGTTTCAGGAAGGCAACAGCCGTGAGCGATGACTTATGTTCTGAGCCTTAAACAACTGATGTCCAGATGTTGCACACGTATGTCAAACGTCAGCGTAAATATTTCGGTTCGGCCTGACGGTTGACGTCAGTCATGATGCTCGGCCAACAGACGGGTCGCTTCCGTGCCCTCCCGTCCAGGGCTGTCGGTCTAAATCTTCATCAGCTTATGATCGCCTGGCATATTCTGAGGACAGCGAAGCAGGGTAAAACTGTTCACACGACTCCTGGAGTTCGGTCCGAGAGCCGCGCTTTCTTTCTGAAGACTGAGTCACGTCTGTTTGGGTCGGAGCGGAGCGAGCTGAGCCGACTTCGGGTCCATTATTCAAGCGGTCCATGTCGTCTGGTCGTATCCCAAGCATGGAGGCAAAATACAAGGCTATGGGCAAGCAGCCTGATGCGAGCAGATGAAAGGACGGATACACATGTGTGACGTGCAAACTGGACTGGTTGGCTCACGCACATCCACGCTCATGAAATCCCCTTTAAACAGTCTGTGCTGGATTTAGAAACACTCCTGATAATACAGGGACATTTTCCATGAAACTTCAAACAAACTTAGGGCTCCGTATCTCCCGTCGTAACATCAATGCGGCTGCTTTTGGTGTAACAAGGGTAGCGGACACCACGCTTCTTGCGCTGCGGTCCACCAATCACGACCCAGCAAACACCCTTTCATGCCAAGCTTGAGCCTGTAATCTCTGTCGGAGAACAAGCTATGATGGCGCCGCCGTCTTGAACGCCATTTAACGGTGCCTGACGAGTGAGTACATTTTGCACCTTGTACGGACTTTCTGAACTGCGCGGCCCAACAACGTGTGAGCGTTTTATCGCAATTATGGCGCAATGAGATTATGGCGCAATGCAGCTGTTGCGCCACCTGGCGCAAAGCTAGACATACGCTCGCAATTGTGCTGGTGCTGTATTTAACTTAAGAAGAAGTGTGTTGATGTAGCCCATCCGGTATTTACGGAACCATGTCCTGCCCGCTATTGCGGATCATGGTGAAATGTTGGACAGCGATATTATAAAATATTTAATACATGCACTAAAAGCTGTGAGCTCCATACGTGACAATTCATTAATGTACAACCAGGGGTGTCACCTTGCTTACTTTCGGGGGCCTGACACCCTCCCCCTCAATGTTGGCTTGAGCCTCCTCAACGCTCTACTGAGCCCCTCCCTCTCTGATGCATATGAGCAGAAAATGGAATACTGGGCCGATGTAATGCATCATGTATCTGAGCCGTTGATATTCAAAGTAACTAAACGTAATGCAATCAACTGGCATCATTATTGCAAATCAGTATTATTACTATCACATGGGCTTCAAACGAGAGAAGCAATTCCTTCAACACGAAAACAATTTTGACACCGAACAAATATGTTTTTATTCTAATTTTGACATAAAATATGCTAATAAAAATGGGCCTAAGTCCGGGGAGAAATCAGGATTTGGGGGCAGGGTGGGTTAACTTTATTGGCTCAGCCCCCCCCCCCCCCCCCCCCATCGGCAAAGTGACACTCTTGTGCACGATCTCGCATTCAAAATACTTAACGACAAAAATATAGCAAAATGACCTTCCACGATTAAATATTGGCGGTGCAGAGAAATGTTTCATTACATCTAATGGCTTTGAAGACATGAAGGGAAACGATAGTGATGTAGTTATTTACACATTAGCAAAGGATAGGTACCATTCGAGAACAATGTTACGCCACGTAGATTGAAGCATTTCTTTGACGTCAACAGCTTAAAAAACAGACAAATCATGAACAAAAAAATTATCCGGCGCGTGTTACCGTATGTGTCAATAAGGTTCCCTCAAGGTCAAGGACGCTGCATGACATGTCTGGAAATCACCTCTAGCCCTGTTGTTAGAATGTTTGCTGTGCACCCGTGCCATATTCATAATTGGGTATTTCAACGCAGCCATCCTGTGTAGAAGCATAGCAGGTCATAGGCTGACCTCTGGTGACTTAATACCAGGTCATATGTTGACCACTGGTTACCTCATACCAGATCTTAGGCTGACCACTGGTGACCTCAGACCGGGAGCAAATGTTGGCAAGTCTATCATTAACTACTCAGTCTTATTTTCGCAGCATATTGAGGGCCAATGAGATGGCCAAACTTTAGGTGACCCGTTGACCGGTTGCTGGCCAGATTAGCATATGAAATAGCCGGAAATTATTTGCATAAACATTGTTCAAAACGCACGGGACCACCGCAAGACATGCAATACTTTATCTGGCTTAAGGCATGTTGACTCGCTAAAAAGTCATGAGCAGGCGAGGGCTGACGGAGTTATTCGAGGCGAGAAGAGGAAGTAAGGCCACCGTTCGGGGCGCAGAAACGGCTTGGGTGCCCTATCGCGCCTTTTGCAACGCTTTACTAAAACGTAAGTGATAGGATGCCGGTGGCCTGGAGCAAAAAACTAGGTCAAATTAATGCAGAGAAAGATGAGATAAAGAGTCTTCTCATTGATCGACATCAGTTGGTGGCTTTACAACAGCTAGATTTAGTTAGTGGTGCAATTTTCGTATCGTTTCATAACTGTCAGCAGGCTCGTCATTTTGCATTAGACTTGCGAATGAAATGACTGTGTCGAGATTGGACTGCTTCATTGTTCACGCATTCGTGTGCGACACACATGGTGTCATTTTAACGAACCCCGTTCACTGACGATCAGTTAAAATGTGTCGTAGTTTAAATCTTAAGAAAGCAGTTGACGAAGTAGTTAAAATCAGTGGCTTATTGTTAAATGATTCCTGATAAATTGGGTTCAGTCTGCAGGTGTTAAACATGTGAGAGAGCCCAACCTTTAGAGGAATGTGCTTAAACTACGTCACCTAAAAGGAATTTGGTCGCCGTAAAGCCATTGGTGCACGTTAAACACTGACTTTTTATCACCTGTATGCATTGCTTTGGTCTTGGCTTACACATCCAATCATGAACGCTCCGCGGCTAATGCTTTTTTTTCTTTAGCCAGCGGTAAATGCTTTAGCAGCCATTCGCGAAACCGAGCGCACAACCTAATGCGTGTCGAAAAATATTGACTGATACTAGACCGGAGGTGCCTTAGCTCAAGTCTCCGTCTCCAGCCTCGTGGCTCCCAGCGTACCGCCTGCTTCTTCGTACCGTGAAGGTACGATAGTCTGTACCGCAATGGTACGGAGATGGTGTCTCGGTCAGACATTGGATCCCCTGGCCGACGAGGACTTACATCGCATTTACTTCGCCGCTTCTTTTCATATAAAGAAATGCCATTCCACCAAGGACTGCCCTAGGATGCTTGAAGCGACTTGACCATCCTCGGGTTCACACCGATATCAAGGCCAGCCGACTACACATGCAGCCTTTGGACGTAAGGTGTTTGGTCTTTCCTGCTCATCTGAGCTGCATCTCAGAGAAAGCCTTGGTCTTTTCAGCAGACCGTAATTCTGTATGAAGTTTGGTGTACAGTGTGACCTTTGACCAGTGTGGCCGGTGTCTCTTTCTGCGTCATTTCTTCCTGTTTTCGGCCCGTTTTCATTGTATAATTAGCTTAGATCGCTTTTCAAAAACATCCAACGCTACGACTAACAACGCGCACGCCGTCAAAACAACCTTGTTTCCTGTCAAGGCCGACATTCAACGTTTATGTGTAATGATTAAGTCTCGGTCGATGGCGAATAAAGTGTTGTTTGTCTCGTACGAAAGGCACTTTGCAAAATTGCGGAAATCAATCACGATGGATTGGCAATGCGAGCCTTTTGAGCGATAAATGCAAGTTGACTGCCGGAGATGGCTTGGCAGTCCCAAAATTTGACCCCCTCCCCCCCCCCTCCCCCAGCGAGCGCCCCGCAGTGTCGGTGTGCCGGTTCTGAGTCTCACCTGAGCGGAGGTGGTGGCCCGTCTGGCAGCAACAGAGGCAGCAGTGGGGCGGCAGACGCGCCGCCGGCGACGGCCGGCAGGTCCACATCCCTGCACGCGCCCTGCGCTGCCCAACTCAGCGGCCTCGCATGCCCCCGGGACTGAGTCGGAGGCGCAAGCGTGGTGAACACCTCTCCGTACCAGACACAAAAATAATCAGAGCGGGGGCCGACGCTAGCGACGGCTATTGACCGCCAGTCGACGGCCAGATGGAGCTCAGGTTGACGTTTTCCACGAAGTCTTTATATGGACTGGATCATGGCTAGCTCCACTGGCCGATGCGTCTCAGGGCTAGCATGACGCATTACTGCCCCTTCAGTACGCCAGACCGTTTAAAAGGACAATAGCGCTTTCAAGTAAAAATTCAACTGTACACATACTGACACTGGCCAGGCGAGTCTCTTTCGAGCCGCAGTCTCGCAAAATCTTTGTTAATGCCCAGAATTTCCATTTAAAATGGACATCTTCGCGTAATTCCGTCTTCAAAATCACTACTGACTCGATAAAAACGTAGACCGTTAAGCAGCAATTTTTTTTTTGTCCACACGTTGATAACATATGAGTTCACTACACACTGTGACTAAATGTTTAAGGTTCGTAACATAGCACCTATCCTTGAACATAACGACAGATGACCAGCGCCGCAGCCCATGCACCAGCGAGACTGGACTAGCAATAGCATAGCACCTATCCCTTGTACATAACGGCAGATGACCAGCGCCGCAGCCCATGCACCAGCGAGACTGGACTAGCAATAGCAGTGTTAAATTCGCATTGCATTGGTACACGGCTACCGTAGGCGATATTAGGATGAACCACCTCCTTTTTCTAGAAGCTTGCATTGCGTTGGACACCCACTGCCGCACCCATGGGTAAATTTTTGTATCTCTTTGATCGGGCTGGGCCCCAATGTTTGTCTCGGCCCCGTTTTGGCGAACAAAATCGTCGAGAAGCTTCACTCATGGTCATGACTCGCCCAGTATAGTGCGATGTTATAGTTGCAGGCCATTTTCAACAGCACAGCTTGTGCTTGTGGCATGTCGTAAATCACGCACTACTGACACGTGATAAAAGATACACCACACCGGCGCCCACCTAACTCCGCCGGCTTCACAGATCTCCAGCCTTTACGGCCGATACTTGCAGCAGAATGCGTTCTCCACCGACGCCCTGCTGTTGACGACCCAGGTACTGGGGGGCGACTTCAGACTGGCGTACTTGGTGCGCGTTGGGTTGCCGCCCGGCTGCCGCTCGTGCCAGGCGAGGAAGTCAACGGCGCTGCCGTCGCTCCAGCGGAAGTGCCACTTGCCCGGCGGCGCCAGCTCGGGGCGATGCACGAAGCCGATATGGACGTTGCCAAGCTCGGCCTGCAGAACCAGCTGGCCGACGAAGGCGTTCTCGGCGGCGTTCAGCAGCGAGCAGAGGTGGGCACCGCCGCGCTGGGCGGCGCAGCGCTGCTCGGCCAGCAGCCAGGTGGTCGACTCTCGGCTGAGCAGCACGCAGACACCGCCGTGGCCGACCCAGCCGGCCTCGCAGCCCAGCAGGAGGCAGACGGGTGCCTCGAACTCGATCTCCACACAGCCGGGCAGCGCGGCGCACCGCAGACCGCACTGCAACGCAGAGCTCGCGGTCGGGCTGGCCAGCGGCCAGCCGGAGCTGTCGCCGCCGCTGCGGCGCAGCACCAGACTGCTGCACGGCAGGGCAGGCAGCAGCAACAGCGGCAGCAGCGGCAGCAGCGCGCCAGACATGATACGGTCGATGAGAAGGAAAACTGCAATAGCTGACAGACAAGACTGCTGCGGCTGACTTGGAGACGAGACTGTAGCTACAGCTGGCGAAGAGACGAGGCTGTAGCTGCGACTGGCGAGGGGACGAGGCTGTAGCTGCGACTGGCCAGGAGACGAGACTGTAGCTGCGACTGGCAAGGAGACGAGACTGTAGCTGCGACTGGAGGGAAGATGGCACCTGCGACTGGCAGGAGGCCGCACTGCTCCTGCTGGTATATACCCCCTATCAGCGCATTACGAATTGCGTTTGGCTTGAAAGAGAACCGCGCAGAGCTAGACAATGTTTTTCTTCACTTTACTCAGATTGATCGGCAATCACACGACACTGACGCGCACTGCAACGTGCAATGTTATTCGAGCTGCTGATAACACTGGACATAATTATCCTGTTGTTGCCCGCCATAAAAGTCGCAATGTGAAATGCAGTTTGCGTGACGTTTCGCAGTTGGGCGGGTGCGTTATCCAGTTACTGAGAATTGGTACGCAGAGACACAGCGTCGCCTGAACAAACACATAAATCCGGACAAAGTCGTTAAATTACATCAAACAAGTAAGACTGAAGGAAAACAAGAATCTTATTCTCGCCAATGACCGCATTCCATTACTTAACCCTTGCCAACGTGCCTGCATACGTTTTGGGATGCGGACCTCATGGCCGAACCGAACTGAAGCTTGCGGATGGCCGTTGGAATACCCGGCAATGAATATCCGTGTAGTCCTGGGTTGAGCTCTGCAGCTCTTCGGTGGAGCCTTCGCCCCCCCCCCCCCCTGTTTGTCTCGTTCCCAACCCCTTTTTCCACGGTGCTCCAACTTGGAACTGAAATCACCAAAAGGCCGTTAAAACCACCAGGAGACAACAAGATGCACTTGTCTTGGAAAAATCTGAACTTCGACCCTCCGATCAATGCTGTGAAGCCTCCGTGGTGTGTCGTGGTGTGTGTGCTCTTGCCCGAGTCGGCAGCGTGGCGGAGTGTTGGCTCCGGCGAAGCGTCGTGCTGGTCCGTGCATTGGGGCGGGTACAGAACTTGTCATCGGCACTCCAGTGACCTTGAGACTGGCTGGGGGCAGCCTGTCCTCGGAGCCTTTGTTGAAGGCATAAAGCTATGGTTTCACGCGGGCATTATTACAGGGAATGTCTTTGTGCCCTTGCGGGCCAGAACTTATTATAATGTATTTATAATTAATGGGAGCGCGTCGCACGTTGCCACGCCCTTTCAGGGAGCGCCAGCGACTGCACTGGCCGTATTAGCACTTAGGGGCCATGGTGCAGGAATATGACGAATTCTAATGCGTTATTAATGTCAGCAACTTCATAATTTCTGGATCGGTAAAAGGGCTGAAGATCAGCAAAGACCTTGCGATTCAGGGGATTTTGGGTTATCAATGGCCCTAATACTACCAAAGCGCCGAACATGGGTGCAGAGCCTTTGGCGGTACATTCATGACTCATCAAAGAACTTTCGAATGTTGCTGATTGGTGTTTTCGACCACCGCCGGGTCGAGCAGGGCATCATGGTGACTGTCAAGGTCCCCGGTATGATGTCAAGTGTCCATCCTTGGCCACGGGACCAAAACGGCAAAGGCGGCCCATGCACAAATAAAAACATGTCAGAACGTAGGGAGACCCCTGAGACGAATTCGGGCCAAACAATCAATGGTATGGGTGTGTAAACACAGCATGAACATGTCCTCGGGACCCAGGGGTGGCAAAGGGTCTTTAGAAATTAAGGAGGCCCGAAACAGTCAGAGGCCTTAACATACTCCGGGACCTCGAGGCAATGAGTCTGATAGTACAAGAATCCAAGGCTAAAGATAGCCTCAGTCCTGAAACACTCAATGGTTTCACTGGACGCTGAGGATATCTAGAGCTCAGCAATCGTTCGGACTATGAGGAAACCCTTAAGCGGCGAAGGACGACGGGGCATTAGCGATCACCAAACAGCCACGTCAAAGACGGCTCAGAGTTCGGTCTTCTCGTCTAGCCTTTTGAGACCGAGCGTATTCTATGACGTAATTAGCTGTTTTCCCGAACCAAGTGCAGTCAGAACATCAGCACGGCCACGGAGACATCAGTACGGAGACATCTTAAGCCACCTGGTGGCAGAAATCGAAGCAATAGTTCTCGCATCTGTCGCCACCTCCGATGTGGCGAAATGATCGCGTGTAGTCCACGAATGGGTGGGCGGACAGATCAGCAGTTGTTTTATCAATTTTTTATTCCGACAATTATCACGCACCCACATCGGATCATCTCCAGATTCTAATGAATGTCAAACCGCAAGTTACGGAGGTTTCGTTTGCAATGCGGCACCCTTGCGTGATGGGACCATAAACATGGGCCATCGCCATGCCCAAAGACGGCGAACCACATGATCGCTCCCTCCTGCTGGAGAGTGGGCCTGTCTATCGGGAGCAGCGGCAGACCGCAGAGTCGCTGAAGCGGCGGTAGTCGGCCGGGGAGGAGTCCCGCCGCTGCACCAGCGGAAGCCGACCCGGGGTAGCAGCCCAGCCGCCGTCGGGCGCCGGGGAAGACACGCGTCGGAGCGGCTAGCCCGACCCCAGCTGGCGGGACGGGCGGGACGGCGAGCCGGGCTGCCGCTGTTCGCCCTGCATCCGGACGTGTCCCGCGGCGCTGGGAGCTTGTGGCAGAGCTGATGCTGGTGGTCGCAGCGGGTGTTGCATTGCACGACAGGCGCTTCGACGGGAGAGCATAGGCGGACTATAATCTTTGTTGCCTTCGGTGGTCGTGTAGTGTAGTCAGCTCTGCTGACGGTACCGCTCCCGTGGCACTGTCACGCGTGCGTGTGCGTGTTCATTATCTAACCGCACAGCCACCTTTGCTGACCACATTTCCGCACCTCTCGCGACGCCTGTCCACCCGCGAGCCATGCAGGGGCGACGGGTCGAGCGGCGTCCCAGCCCCAGCCACGCGGCAGCAATACCACACGCTCCGGACTACAAAATATTTATTGTACATTGACGAATGGCCACGCGATGTGAAGGGCGAGCTGTCCGGCGATCACGGCATCATAACACGAGACTCACGCGACACCACTGGCGCCCTGACGAATTTGGACGGGCCGCGTGCGCCGCCCGGCTCGCCCGGCCTCTCGCCGGCCGCGCGGCCGCCCGCTCGCCGAGCGTCCGGCCGCGGCGCCGAGTAAAAACAAACGGGGCGGCCGACAACCCGGCGTCCCCCGCGCCGACCACAGCTATTCACACTAGACCTATGTACACGGTGAACCATAACAAGCGCAACATTGTAAAATGACCAAACGCGCCGAACGCGCCAGGCCCGGCCGAGCGCCGGCCCGCCCGGACACTCCCCTCCCCGAGGCTCGTGCGACGATGGAGCGCGTGCGCGCGCAGGCGCCGGCGGCGCCTCGTGAAAATATGGGTGATTCATGAATCGGAGCTGGCGGTGCCTCTAGGCCTCTTCTTCCTCCTCGTGTTTGCGCTTTTTGCCCCTGTTCGAGTCTGAAAGCAGTGCAACCGATCAGTGATAATGCAAAGGCGCTTACAATGAGAAGGGAGCTCGCAGCCCGAAGTACACTCACACTTACCCAAGGGTCCAGAGAGACTTGATGGAGTCTTATTTGAACTAGGGGAACTGTGCAGCCCGCGCACGCAGCTCAGGTCGCCTCTTCACAGGCCAAAATCGTTCTAAGACGTGTGCATGGTAGCTGCTCGATCTGGCACGGTTTTCAAGCAACATAGCGATGTATGGAAGTCCAATCTGACGCATGCGACTTAATTCGAGGGGAAAATATGGCATTTACCAGTCGACAGAACTCCACAAAAAATCAAGGCACAAACTAGATCCTCCAGACAGAAACATTCACAATAGTTTTGTCCGTCGCAGGGAAGGCTCTGATCACTGAGCCACAACGCAACTACATACGCATGGTTCCCTCCGTCAAAGAATTTACGCCAATGGGCCGCCGAATACGACTGAAATTACGTTGGTGCCCGCTCGATATGGAAGGTCATGCGCATGCAATAGACGTCATATGCATTGACAAATAGTATTACAATACAAAGGTGTGAAACGAATACACAAATTCACAACCATCGGGCAAGAACCAATGTCACCTGCCCCATCCCACGCAGCTGAAGCTGCAGAGGTGTGGGGCTACACCACTAGTCCTTTCAAAGCCACGATAAAACGGAGTGCTTTGCCGCAGCATTCGCAGTATTTGATGATGCATATGTTACGTTTGAACAAATCTAGCTCAGGTCATGCTAAGCCACTGTCTGACGTCATTTATGAAAATATACAGCACGATTTTACGTGAAATATTCGTTTTCCTGTCCCGCAGGCAAGCTCTGTCCATACAAAAAGCTGTTTTCTGGCTGCAAGCCTTGGGGATGATATCACTGCTTGGTGACCTGAAATGACCTGGGACACTTTTCTGCAAATATACCCCATGAATGCATAAGGCCAACCGCGATTCCAGTTTCTTTACAGTACTTAGGTGGTTCCGGAAACGTGACTTGAACAGACGCACTCATTCACCCACTGACCCGGAGAGGCTCTCGCAATAGCACATGGCAAACCCTGCCGCGCATCCATCCCGGCAAGGCATAATTTGTCAACTCTTACCGCCAGCAGCAGCGGCGGCGGCCTCCTCCTCCTCCTCGATGACATCATCATCTTCTTCCTCCTCTTCCGCCACTTCGTCAAAGTCGTCATCGTCACCGTCGTCGATGTTGTCTTTGTAAATGGCCGACAGTCCCACCTCTTCTTCATCATCTTCTTCCTCATCATCTTCCTCGTCCTCATCTTCTTCCTCTCCTCCCACGCCGTCTTCGTCTTCGTCCTCCTCACCTGCAGGGCGATGACACAATAGCACGCGAAACCCGGTGACAGCCGCGCGAACTTGCCACCAATAACGCACAACACACTTCAGTGCAACTGGTGAATGTGGGCCAACATCCAAGCGCTCCAGCATATCGACAAGGATTTCACATCGGGGTGGAGTGGGAACCATATGGGGACGTTACGCTTTTGTAGCTTTTTACAATAAAAAATAAGCGTATGGGGATCTGACCCTTTTATACCATACATGTGGAGGGATGTACAACCGCTGCACATCACGTTAACTCTTATCCTCCCCCAACGACTTATTATATAAAGCGAACCTACGCATTCTCCGCATTGCCCCGCCCAAGGGGCAGGTCGCGACATGGGTCATTGCGGAACACAATAGGAGCAAGACACAGACACCCCCTACCCCTAGGCACGCACATGTACACAGATCGTGTTTCTTTCTCAAGGCAGCCTGATATGCAAGGTCTGTTCCTTCCCCACATTGGCGAGGCATGTAAATTTTGCTCCTTCCTCGCAGCAGCCAGGTACGCACATTTTGTTCCTACCTCATGGAAGATAATGTGTCTCTGGGATTGAACCCCGTGTTGCCAAAAGTTGGGTGAGGGAGAGAGGGGCCCCGATTCCACCCATACTCCCCATGAAGCCATTCAGGTCAGAATATGGACGTAAAAGTACCTCGTAACTGTTTCCGACACCAGGAAAAATGATCTCCAGGATTTAAGGAATTTCTATCTCGGACCACCAGAATACCCAGCAAACGAAGTGAGGGAAACCCTGTCCGTCAAATGAAGGCGGAATGATATTTACTTGGAGCACCCAGTTCTGCCTACACATTTTTGCCTCGCGGGTTGCTGATGGGAACGCAAGAGCGCCACCTCAAGTGACTGGCGCCAGCGGACTGTACCTGGCGCCCATGCATCGGCACTCGACGCGCCTGACCCGGCCGTCGCGGGTGCAGCTACAGCTGCCGTGCTCGATGCAGCCCAGTTGTTTTGCCCCGTAGGATACGGGCCAGAAAAGCAGCTCTCCGCTGTTTGACTAAGACACGCAGCTTCTCTTCAGTCTAATTGGTAGTAATGCAATGATCACCGAGCATTGTTAAGCAGCGGAGCACAAACAATTTACTGAACATCAAGAATTTTGGGCGCAAGTGCTGCTATCAGTTATAGCTGTCAAAATCATTGCACGCCGTCCCAAAACACGAGGATATCGATAGTTTACCGACTTGCAATGATCCACGGCTTCTTCCAGCAAAGGTCTTGGAATGACCAGCACACCTGGACGCCATCACCCGCCAGATACACCCGCGGGCCCATGGATGAGCGTGCGGGGCGACTCCTGGTTTGTTTTGCGCCGGGTGCAAGACACCCCTTGCTCCACATGTCCTTCGCCGCCTTTCTGCTCTGACAGACAGAGGCAGTGACAAGGCATTGGCAGCGAAGCGACCCGATAGTTAGACACTCGGCAGCCTTGGCTCACAGGATACATCAGGGATGTTGCCAGTGTGAAATCATACCGTCGGCGGCCTCCTCGTCGCCGTCCTCCTCCTCATCCACGCCGTTCATCTCATCGTCCGAGTCTTCAACCTCCTCTTCGTTCTTGTCGAATCTGCACACGTGGGGTACACAGTCACGACACGCGCGATCTCCGCAATCTACGAAAGCACGCACCGCGCCAACAGGTATGACACAGACAGAGGAAAACAGCGGCTGTGATGCAATGAAACGACATAATTAACTACCCAAAACAAAACATCAGAACGACCCAAAAGGAAGAGAATAATTTCTTGACATGCAGTGACATGCATGCAGTGTTGCTATATGATGACGTGTAACTTCTAAAAAGCCACTGGATCTTGTGGAAAGTTACGAAATATAAGGACATACGTAAGTGAGAAGATTGAGATCAGATAAAACAACCTCTTGCTATTTTGCGATTAGTTCGGGTGGCCTTCTGGGTGCCTGGATGCCACATTAAGCGGGGGCGGGGTGTGGGGGAGGCGAGCACTTATGGGAGATGAGGCAAACAAGAGATGGGAAGCTCCATGGATTGGTCCAGATTCATCGACGTTGTTATATGAACAGTGAGCTCTCACGTTTAAACCTTAGTTTTTCGGCATCACTAGGGTTTTCTTGTGCTGCTTCTTTCCTACCCTGCTAGGGCGGTTCGCCACACTGCTGACCTGTCCAGAATACAGCATTGTTTTTCTTATAAACGTAGACCGAGCATCTCAGCAAGTCTTTGAAACCCATCGCAATTACTCGTCGGCGCCAGACCTACCCGTCCAGACCGACCAGCGACGGCAGCATCTTGAACACCTCGTCGCGGTACTTCTCCAGGTTGGTGACCTCACAGTGGAAGAGGTCGAGATTCTTCAGGTTGGCAAGGTCAGCCAGCGGCTTGAGCGACTCAAGGTCCTTGATGCGGTTGCCGCTGAGGTTGAGCGACTTGAGCGCTGTGCAGCCGGCCAGCGCGTTCAAACCGCCCGAGATCCGGTTATCGCTCACCTCCAGCTGACGGAAACGTGACCACGGTAAGCACGGTAATGCTGCACGGGAGGGGCGTGTGCGCCACGGTGGTAATGCAATAACGGCAGCTGTAGTTGATGGCAATACCAGCTGAGGCCCCGTGTAAAAGCGGCCTGCACTTTCCGTTGTTCGTGATTCGTTGTTGAAAACCTGCTTTCAGGGGTCAGATTGCTGTGCTCGTTAAAGGGTAAGTTAAATTGCAGACCTTTTATTGGCACTTTTGGCCGCCTTAAGCATAAAGGAGAATGAAGGTCTCCCAAAGGGGGCGGTTTTTATGCAGCATTGTTGTCGCAGTTAAGCGCCACATGAGCTGGGTTCACGGCGGACGCTCGACCCCAGCATCGTAATTGTGAAAATACAGTGAGCGAATGCCTCATCATACAAAGAACGAGAATCCTAGCGTTTGAATCCCTTTTGAATCCCTTGAGTGAACGAATGCCTCATTATCCAAAGCACAAGAATCCTAGCGTTTGAATCCATTTTGAATCCCTTGAGTGAGCGAATGCCTCATTATGCAACGAACAAGAACCAAAAGTGGTATAGCAGCATAACCCGGACAGTTTCGGCTATAGTCCTTTCATAATCATAAGCTCAAGTCTCTGCTCCACGCCCAGTAGAACTGAGTGAGCACGTTCCAAATATGGGTTCAGCGGCATTGGCTAACGACTGGCGTCTTCAGTACTGTCATCTAACCTACGGCATTCTGTTTAGAATCTCCCATGCGTTTAGCGAATTACGTGTTCATCACCCAAAACACAGACATGTATCCAGTCAAGGAACACAAGACGGAATGGACGCGTTCGGGCGAACTAAAACGGGCACCACCTGGCTTTCGCGGGCCAGCTCCCGATCTAGCCGGGAGGGCCGCAGGCCCGCGGGAGAACCATTCAAAACATCTTCGTCTTTAGTGCCTACCGGGACCTTCACATGACCTCCAGGGGCCTGCCGACCTTGCCAGCCCACTTCACCTTGGTGGCGGCAGTGGCATATGCCTGTTTCATGGGCACCAATGGGGCCCCACACATCTCCATTTTGAGCCTGACACCTCGGACCCCACGGGGCTACCTATGCCACCTGCGAGATCAGCCCGCCGCCGGGCCAGCGTTGGCGCGTGTGCCGACGAACGTACCTTCCTCAGCTTGGGCAGTGCAGGAAAGCCCTTGAGCGAGGTGAGACCGGCGCTGTTCAGACTGAGCACCTCCAGGTTGGAGAACTTGTCTGTCAGACCATCGATGGTTGGCGACTTGCAGTTGTCCAGGTTCAGCTCGGCCAGCTGGCGGGCAGTGTCCAATGTGTGACCGCACGATCCTCCAGTGTGCAGCAGACAAGCAGCCATATACAGATAGCATGTGCACGATGAAAACACATGCGAAGAAAATACACTCGAGCCTGTTGCGTATTGCAACACCGTACCTGGTTTGCATGACCTCGGATGAGGGATTCGGTCGCGTCCTGGAAGTGTTTATGTCAGACTTCCTTTCACCCAGCCCACGTAACATAAGATGTGAAGTATTATGACCAAGAAAATGGCAATGGCAATGACAGGCCACTCCACATGAGGAATTGGATGGGCAAAAAAGGAGTTGTACCTGGAATCGGAGGCGAATTTAGCTCCTACGACAAAAAAGCAGGAATGTTCCACCTTTCAATTAGGCGTGAAATGTGACAGCCATCACAGAATGTTGCGATATTTTCAACCCAAGTGGCACCATAATGGATCGGGGGACCATTAAGCCCAGCATGTTCTTTACCATAAACTTACAGGTAACAATACCTCACAACAGACCCTGGGCCATGAGCTGGCGTAGTCCAACCTCTGCTCGCCCCACCTTTCCAGGCACCCCCATTCCCGGCCTCGTCCTCACAACAAACTAAAAATGCGGGTACAGGCAAGTACCGGTGTAGTTCTGGATTGATTTCGGAGTAAGTTGGGTTATGGGCTCCTCATCCAGCCTCCGCCTTCAACCAAAGTGAGCAAAAAAGCGACAACACCATCAAGCTTGATGCCTTGAACTTCGTTAAAAACACAAGTAGGTCCCTTGTTGACTGCCATACTTTTTCGTCACGCTCGTGGACATGAGACTCTTTATCATTTTTTTTTTATTTCCCAGGAATATTGACGTGAGGACATTTGGAAGTTTGCAAATTAAAGAATTTGTATATTTTCAAGCCCAATTTGAGCCAAACGACTGCGCCGAAATTAAGTAAACGTATCTAAGGCGCCTTCATCACACCCCTTGCAGTGTATTTTGACTTATAATCCATTCCTAATCACCACAAGCGGAAGAAAAACATTAAATTTGTTTTGTATTCTGGCGCCACCATCCAGAAAATGCAGCGAATTTCGCGTGGAAAAACGAAGACCTACCCAATGAGGATTCCCTCGAGACGACATACAAGACATTATGTGCATAACATTGAGAAATTCCAGAGGGCTACCTACGCACGAGCCTCACGAAACCCCGACCCCAGGAACAGCGGAGCGATCGGCTTTGTTTCCGTGCGACACCTAT